AAAAAAAGTATGATATTTTTGTGATGTGTCACATATGCGTATATACGTCATATGATCTCGAAAAAAAAATGGTTTTTTAAAATACATTATTGTGAAAATGCAAAAATGGTTGATGTAATACATTTAGTTTAATTACATGAATATATGGATAATTTTTTGATACGGAGAAAAAAAGAAATTTTCCTTTTTTTAAAAAAAATTGATATAAATTAAATTATGCAGAGAAAATACAACAATACTTATATTTTTGTTATTATGTCTCATATATTCCAAGAAAAAATGTTTTTTTTTAAAATTCAATTATTGTGATTGCAAATATGGTTTAGTTTTTAATGTTTTTAATACATTTAATTTAATTATGGATAATTTTTTGATACGCACGGAGAAAAAGAGGAATTTCCATTTTTTTTTTTAAAAAAAAAGTATAACAATACTAATATTTTGTGATATGTCACATATGCGTCATATGATCTCGAGAAAAAAAATGGCTTTTAAATTACATTGTTGTAAAAATGCAAAAATAATATATTTAGTTTAATTACATGAATAAATGGATAATTTTTTGATAAGGAGAAAAAGAGAAAATTTTTTTTTTTTTTTAAAAAAAAAAAAAAATTGATTTAAATTAAATTATGCGGAGAAAATACAACAATACTCATATTTTTGTTATATGCATCATACGTTCCAAAGAAAAAATGTTTTTTTTTAAAATACAATTATTGTGATCGCAAAATAGTTTAGTTTGTAATACACTTAATTTTAATTATGGATAATTTTTTGATACGCACGGAGAAAAAGAGAAATTTTCTTTTTTTTTTTTTTTAAAAAAAAAAATTTATCTAAATTAAAGCAAAATACTCATATTTTTGTGATACGTCACATATGCGTCATATGATCTCGAGAAAAAAAATGATTCATTGTAGATTCGAATTATTGCATAGTATGTTGTGAAAATGCAAAACTGGTTTAATTTGACGGATAATGCATTGTAATACATTTAATTTAATTACATGAGTAAATGAAATTGTTTTATATGGAGAAAAAGAGAAATATTCCTTTATTTTTTTTTAAGGGGAGCGTGTAGTCACGTGATTTATAATAATGGCGCAAAAATTTAAAATATGAAGCCCAAGAACAAAAGTACTTTAGTTTGAATAATTATGTATTATTTTATTATTATTTTTGTAAAGACATGTGAAAACATACCTATAGAATACAAATATATTAAATTAATTAATGATAAAATGCTTTTTGTTAAAAAATAATATTATGTTTTCCAGTAGAGAGATTCTAAACTTTCACTAAGCGATTCGCAACCTTTTTGAAACTTCTTTTGATATTTTCTCCAAAATATAATATTTAAGTCTAAATAAAAACTATACCTGGTGAACTTTCAGGTTCCAAAAGGTAAGAAAATAATATATTTTTTTTAATATTTAGTAATTTACAAATGTTTTATTAGACATGGACGTTCTGAATAGCACAAAAAAAATTTTTGCGCCATTAAAAGTCACGTGATTACACTCTCCCCTTAAAAAAAAAAAAATCCGATCTAAATTATAGTTAGCCGAAAAATAATTAGCCGCAGCGTGATCCGAACCCGCTTAGGCGTAGATCGTCGTGGAATTCCGGGGATTTTCTGCGATTAAACCGGATCCGGGTGATCGGCAATCAGGAATTCGGCTCCGTTTTCCGGCTAACTACATCATTATACGAGAGAATACGACAATACTCTGATTTTTGTGATAAGGTCTCACATGCCCTACGAAAAAAGTGTCCAGAAAATGCATTGAAATTGACCGGAATATAATGTACAAATTCAGGGTATATCAAACTGAAATTTTTAAATATCCTGTACTATATAATATAAATCAAGAGTCTATATTACCTTGTTAATTATTATGTAGTATTTTTATCGTATGATAAAATGCAAGCTTATTATATTCAAACATTACTAGTGATTTTTTTGCAAAATAACAAAGAAAAGGACTCAAAGAATTTCGTATCAAATAAACTTTTCATATATAATACAACACCGTATATAGTTTGTAATCAAACTTTTATTAAATTTACTTATACAAAACGATTATTACAAGTATTTCAAAATAATTTATTTTTTATATTAATAACTATACGCGACATATCTGATATGGATTTTTTAAAAGCAGAAAAGAATATTAGAGGAATAACTAAATAAAATATATTATCCTAGTGTGGAAGAATAGTGTAAATATTAATCAATTTGTATGTTTATTCATTTGAGTTGGGTTAAATCAGTCAAGAATATCCTAAGAAACCAAGAAGATAAAATAAATTATACTATAATCATCATTTAAATTTAAATTTATAATAATAGTAGTAGTAGTAATAAATAACAGATTGAACTTTCCGTAGTACTATGATTTTTTCATATTATTTATTGTTACAAAGCATAAAAACAGTATATACGATAACTCGAAACAATAAAAAATTGAACTTTATTTGTTAAATAATGGTTTATAATCTGCTAAAAATTTACATTATTACCGAATTTTCAGTATTCTATAAAAGGTTAGTTTATTTTAGTACATTAGGTTGATCATTTTCTAAAAGTTACCCAATTACGATAATCTTAAAATTTTCTAAAAACATAATATGTCAATAACCGCTTTCCAAACTTGATGCTAGAGTCTATGAGACTTTTAATAAATTACGTGTTGATACCCAATAACCTTTTAATTTTCTAATGATTAATCAGATAAATCGAATGAGTTATACTTTCTTGATCTTAGTTATTTTGAACAATATATTATATTTTTATTTATTTATTCTTTTTTTAAAATAGAAATCATCTATTTCCACATTAATTTAAAGTGGAATTGTTCATTCAGATTGTGGCGCAATGTAAAAAAACGTGGCAAAATACAATAATACGTTAATAAAAAAATAATAATTTTACAGTTGATTGCGGCTAAAAATAATTATCAACATTAAAATCTTGTATTTTCTCATTATTAATTTAAAGTGGCTTCTCTTCAATTGTAAAAAACGTGGCAAAAATACTCTTGTACGTCTTTACTTCGCCCTCGTTAATAAAACAACAATTTTACAAATGATTGCGGCTAAAAATAATCATTAACGTCAAAATTTCATATTTTCCCATTGTTAACTAAAAGTGCTCTGCTCTTAAATTGTAAATTTTGACATAGCAATGGCGCAATATATTAAAACGTGGCAAAAATACTCTGTACGCTTCCTTTACTTCGCCTTCATGATTCATGAAATAATTTGAAATAGTGTTATTATAAAAAATTTTCTTATATAAACACTTTGAGAAAGAGGTCTTTAAACAAATTAATAAACAACGAATTAAAAATTATATATATCTATATATATCACAATCACAAAATCAATAATGAAATTCAAATGCTTATTGCTAATTTTCGCCTTTACTATTGTTTTAGCAGGTAAATAAATTATCACTTTAAAAGAAAATTTTCTTTTTTATTCATATTAATATTAGGGGCTCTTTTATGATAATTTAAATTCACAGATGCAGTACCTGGTTCATTGAAACGTGACGCGGACGCAGAAGCCCAACCCCCATGGGCATGGAAACGTGATGCGGACGCAGAAGCCCAACAGGGATGGAAACGTGACGCGGATGCAGAAGCCCAATCCCCATGGGCATTATGGCAGAAGCCGCCTTGGTGGCATGAAAAGTGATGCGGACGCAGAAGCTAAACCCCGATTATTAGTCGCTCGTGATGCAGACGCAGAACAATTATTAATCTTTTACTAGATATGTAACGATTCCATACTAAAATAGAATATATATTTTTTTTTGATTATCGATAAAACTAATTAAGTCGGTAGTGAGCTTTTTTTAATGATATTATCATGTTTGATGATATTTTTACGTAATAACAGTTTTCCTATTATTCGTCAGTTCACTTTGAATTCAAAATGTTACGACTTACCTTATGATACAACATATAAGAATTTTCATATTTGAAATTTATTAAGTGAAATTTTTTAAAAAGTTATAGTTGAATTTTTTAATAATATTTCATGTGAAACAATAATAATTTTTTCTACTTTTAGAATTGCGAAAAAAATTGTAGAAAATTATTTAATGAAATTAGTACTTTATTAACTTCGCTTTTAAATACAGTACATCCTTCATGAATTTTTACAATATTTATGTTCATATCAAAAACGTTTTGTTAGCTATAATGATCATTGATTCACCACGTGCTTTTTCACGAAATGTTTCGATATTTTAAGAAAATCGAAATCGAACGCACAAATAGTAGCTGTGCCACAATTCTTTAACGTTTTATGGTAAATCATTTTATGAACACTACAATATAAATTTGCAAATCACACAAGAATCACACTCTAACTAGCTTTGCTTCAAGAAATAGGACGTATTATAAGTGAGTATTTAAGATGGATATTTTTCGATAATATTTATTATTAATTTTAATAATATATTTATGGGTATTGTATTTATTTTGTGACGACAATAACAATTAAAAGAAATTTTAACAACTACTAAGAATCAGTATTCCAACAGTACACAGAATTCTTAAATGTTATCAAAAATGGAAATGCGTAACGAATTCATTTTTACAACAAATAGGAAGAAGAAAATTTTTAGTGGTTCTGATATGAAAGTTGGTTAATTATCATTATAATTTTATGATTAGTATTGACATTAATCTATTTTATTTTAGATTTTACAAGAAAATATTATTTAAAAAGAATATCTTAATTATTACTTGGATGAAATTGTTAGAGATGATTAATACCGGAAAGAGGTACTTTATGGAGATCTTAAAACGTTGTGGAATAACAAAAAAGAAGGTTAAATATATGTATTTTATTGTATAATTGTTAAAAATTGTTAAAAATTACTAATAAATCTAATTATTCTTTCTAAATCTAGTTGGAAAAAGCTGTATAAGAAAGGAGTAAATTGCTAAGAGCTGATTATATTTTATCACGTACTTTATGGGTATTATGAACCATTAGCAACGTATTTCTAGTGTTACATTTACACGTGATTTTTAGACGATTATTTTGAAAACGGCAATCATGACAATATTACATGAGAAAAACATTGGGATTCCAATATTTGCCTTAAAAATATTTTTATTTATTATTAATTATGATTGAGAAAATAAAAAATAACATTAAAGCGAATATAATATATATTGTCTTCTAATCAAAATGGTGGAAAGAATAAACATCCAACTTTACAGCAATAACAACCTACTGATACATCACTATTGTTATCGCAAAGTACGTGTTGATTCACAACAAAAATAATATATTGCCCAATGGGAGATGAACACTAAGGATTATGAACATATTATGAGGATTTGCATTTGAAAATTAATGGAATCTTTCAATAAAATGATTAGAATCATATTAAAATTCAATTGCACGATATGAGAAGAGTCATATTCTTATCTTGATTTTATGAAGAACTTCTTTGTTGGGAAGACATGGCTGATACTATCTTGTGCTAATCTTGGTCGTTCTTAATCCCAATCATAGCCACTTACCGTATATAAATAATAATGGTCGCATTATTTTCAAATTTAGCTTCTTCAAATTTAGCTTCCTTTCTCAAGTTTCGAATATAATGAAGGAAATCCATCTCGTGTCCTCACTTCAGGGTAAACAGTGAGAGTACTTCATTGAGAAGTAGAAGATGCCCTATAAGAAATATGTATACGGAAAGGTGTATACATTTTATGTACGTTTCTATAAATTCCGTATACAAATTCCGTATATTTAATAAGCAATTCATTTTTGAACGTATTTTAAAAAAACTAATGTATACGAAATATATACGGAAAAAATTAATCATGCGGAATGTATATGGAATTTTTAAACTTAATATTTTTACAAAAATCCCGTATCATAACACGAGATCATGTGACAGCTGCGGACATACAAAATTTCAAAATTTGTTTGTTATACATGCAGTACTTGATCAACATAATGCATTTTGCATAAATATCCACCATTTAATTGAAAAATATATTTACGTTACTGTATCTTTTCAGCTAGGGAAGAATTTTTGATTTATATAGTAATAGGACAAAAACAAAGCAAAGATAAAGATTAAAGGCATATGATTATGGGACAAAGACAAAGTAATGATAAAGGTAAAAGCACGTAACATGAATAATTAATACAGATTAGAATTATTCTAAAATTTTAATCAAATTGCAATAAGTTACAAGTAGCACCAAGGAATCTGAAGGTATTAAACAAGCTAAATATTAAAATTTTTTTTAGAAAAAAAATCATTTGAAATAATTTAAATATTATTATATTACTTTATGTAATGCTGTTCCAAATTGGTTTTAGTTTAACATCCTTCCCTTTTATTTTTGAAAATTTCAAAGGTAATTTAAACACATATGTCCAAATATGTTTAAAAGCACCTCTCTTTTTCCTAAAATTGAGTGGTATCAAGTTTGTTTAAATTATCCTCAAATTTTTCATGTTAAACTAATTATTAGTTTGGAATGGCCTAATAATATAATATTTACATTAATTCAAACATCATTATTCTAAACCATGTTCTTATTTAAATTTATATTTAATAATTTAGGTTGTAAGTTAATAGATTATCTTATAATTGAATTACTTATTTTTGTTATAATACATATGACTAAATAATTCATTTAATGATTTGATAATACTATAGTTAGTAAGTTATCATCTATTTAAATCTTTAGTTCTTTCTTTACTTCATTTTTCTAAATTTTTAATTACTCGGTAATTAATTATATTACAGATGGTAAATTATAATATTTAATATATTATATTTATTTGTTTAGTATTTTATATAACTCAACTAACAATATATCTGATATTCATTATTTGAATGATTAGATTGTAAGTGATATATAATTTACAGTATATACTTTGTATTATATGTACCCAACTAATTTAATAATTAATAATACTCTAGGGTGTAAGTTATAATTTATCAATATTTTATTATTTATACAATTTAAACTAATTCTTTATTTAAAAAATTATTTGTTGATTTCTTTTAGTTGGTAAGCTATATTTAATTTTATTATTACATAACTATATAATATTTACATTATAAACTAATTATTTATCTAAAAATTAATTAATACAATAGAGAGTAAGTTATTTATTTAATTCTATTATTATATATTTGTAATATTATTTACATGTAATTTAAACTAACTAACTCTTTTATTAAAAACTATTTGGCAATTTCTTTTGGTAGTTGGTAAGTTATTTATTTTTATTAATTTAATTCTATTGTACAATGTTTACAAATTTAAATATACTAAATTATTCATTTAAAATAATTAAATAATATAGATAGTAAGATTTGATTCTATATTTCTATTATTACATATTTGTATTATATTTACATATAATTTAAACTGACTAATTCTTTATTTAATAAATTATTTATTTACTTAGAATGTAAGTTATAAGGTTGTTTATTTAATATATTTAATTTTATGTATCATTTAAACTAACTAAATTCTTTATTTAAAAATTATTTGATGATTTCTTTTAGTTGGTTTAGTTGGTTAGTTGGTAATTTATAAGCCATTTATTTAATTCTATATTTTAAACTAACTAAATTCTTATACAAAAAATTAAGGAAGTAAGTTATTTGTTTATTTCTTACATTTTTATATAATATTTGCATATAATTTAAACTACTAACTAAATTCAATTATTTAACTGAATAATATAGAATGTGAGTTATTTATTTAATTCTATTAATTCAATTATTAAGTATCCATATAATATTTATATATGATTCAAACTAACTAAATTCTTTATTTAAAAAATTATTTATAGTGAGTAAGTTATTTGTTTAATTCTATTATTATATATTTAAATAATATTTACATATAACTAAATTCATTATTTAAAAAATTATTTATAGTGTGTAAGTTATTTGCTTAATTCTATTATTACATATACAGTATATATAATATTTACATGTAATAATTTAAACTAACTAAAATTCTTATTTATTTATAGGGAGTGAGTTATTTATTTAATTCTATTATTACATATTTATAATTTAAACTAACTAAATTCTTTATTGAATTAGGACGTAAGTTATAAGCTATTTGTTAAATTCTATTATTAGTACATATTTATATAATATTTACGTAAAATTTAAGCTAATTAAATTATTTATTTAAAAAATTATTTTGGTAATTTCTTTTAGTGGGTAAGTTACTATAAATTATTTATTTAATTTTATTTTAGCATATTTATATAATACTATCATATACCAATTATTCATTTTATTAATGTAGATGGTAAGTTATTTAATTAATTCTATTAATATTTACATACAAATTAAACTACTAAATTCTTCAATTAAAAATTATTTATATATAGGAAGTAGGTTATTTATTTTATTCTATTATCACATATTTATATAATGATTTAGGCTACTAACTAAATTCTTTTTTAAATGATTATTTAATAATAAAGCTTGTAAGTTAATTATTTTTTAATATTACATATTTATATAATGTTTACATGATATAATTTAACTAACTAAATTCTTTATTTAAAACTTATTTAATAATATAGTTTGTAAGTTATTAATTTAATTCTATTATATACATTTATATAATGTTTATATGATATAATTTTAACTAACTATTAAATCTTTATTAATTATCTGGTAATTTATTTTAGCTGGTAAGTTATAAGCTACATATTTATATAATATTTGTATATAATTTTTTAATCTAATTAAATTCTTTATTTAAAAACTTATCTGATATATAGTTGGTAAATTTAATATTTATTATTTATTCTATTATGTAATACTTATATATAATCTAAACTAATTATTGTTTAAAAAAATAATTTGGTAATTTATTTTAGATTGTAAGTTATAAACCACATATTTATATAATATTTATATATATATATAGTTTAATCTAACTAAATTCTTTACTAAAATATTTAATGATATAGCATGTAAGTTATTAGTTATTCCTATCATGTATTATTTATTTTAGTTATAGCTTTAGTTAACTGAATTCTTTATTTGAAAAAACATCTTTACTTCAGTTGGTAAGTTATTAATTATAGGTTATTTTACATATAATTTATGAAAAAACTAAGTTATATTTTATTAAATCTCATTTAAATTTTAAGAGTAAGTACTCAATATTATATTTTAAATTTTAAATTTTGATATATATGTTTTAATATAATTTTAATTATTTAAATTTATAGATTTGGTAAAAGTAAAAATGCAATTATAGATTAATTTATTTTTAGAAATAAATTAAAATGGATTCCTTATAACCAATTAAAAAATATTGAATATCTTGATAAAGGAGGATTTGGTTCTATATACAAAGCTATTTGGTTAGATGGATATAAATCATATAATAAGATTATAGAAGTAGCTCTTAAATGTCACAATAATTTAAATGAAAATTTAGATGAATTTTTGAATGAAGTATGATAATAGTATTATGCTATTTTTTTAAAAAAAATCTAAATTATATTTATTTATTCTAATATATTATTATTCTTTATAGTGGAAATGTCATAAGAGTTGTTTAGATTCATATGGAATTATTGATCTTTATGGATTTACAAAAAATCCAGATACTTTGAATTATATGGTAGTAATGGATTATGCAAACAAAGGTAATTTGAGAGGAAATTTAACAAATATAGTAAAAAATAATTGGAAACAAAAATTACATATGTTATACAAAATTATTTCCGGACATAAACAAAATCTTATTCATTGTGATTTACATGATGGCAACGTTTTAAATCATAAGGATGTAGAAGATGAAGAAGATGAAGAAACTGAAAATTATAAGAATGAAAAGGTTTATATTAGTGATTTAGGATTATGTCAACCTGTAAAATCATTTTTAAAAAGATATGATATTTATGGTGTTATACCATTTATGGCACCTGAAGTTTTAAGGGGAAAATCTCATACTCCAGCTAGTGATATATATAGTTTTTCTATGATTATGTGGGAATTTACATCTGGAGCACCGCCATTTAATAATAGGGCACATGATATTCAACTTAGTTTAAGTATTTGTAAAGGTGAACGACCTGAAATTATTGAAAATATTCCACAATGTTATGTAGATTTAATGAAAATGGGTTGGAATAAAGATCCATTAAAAAGGCCATCTTCTGAAAAAATTTTAAATACTTTACTGAAACTTGCAAAATCGGGACTGTGTAGTAGCTATGTAGCCGCTATATATATTATAAAAAAGTAGTAGGCGTATCGCTATTTTATGTTTAACGTAGGGTATCCATATGGAGCGAATATAAAAATACTGTGAATAATTTCGAGAGTCCAGCAAGTTTATATGTAACAAATACAATGCAAAAATGTAGTTTATTTAATGTAAAAATATTGCAAAAATGTAGTTTATTTAATGTAAATATATTGTTTATTTAATGTAAAAATATTGCAAAAATGTAGTTTATTTAATGTAAATATATTGTTTATTTAAAGTAATATTACAGTTTACTCAAAGTTATAATACAGCTTCATTGTATCAACTATCTAAATCTATATTAAATCTATTTTGTATCGATATTAATCTATACTAAAAAAAAGCTAAAAAAATCTTTTTTCTAAAGTTTTGAATTCCTTTTTTTGAAACTATACTTGGGATTTTGGTTTCCAAGCTGGAGCCAACTTCTCTACAAAAAAAGGAAATAAATTAAAAAAAACCTCTTTCTATAAAGTTTCGAATTCCTTTTTTTTCGAAACTTACCTATCTCACGCAAGCATCTAACTAAGAGTCAATTTCACCAACCGCCTAAAAAAAAAGGAAAAAAAAGAAATTAGCAACCGTTTTTAAAAGATGAAATAAAGATGGAATAAAACAAAAAAATAATACTCCCACCAAAGTCCCTCATCCAAAGAATTTAAGAACCGTCTAAAAAGAAAAAAGAACAGTTAGAAAATGCTTGTCAAAATAAAAATCAAGAAAAAATTGCCAAACTCACCGATCACGATAAAACAAAATTTTTCTCAGTAAAACTTAATTTCTTTGATAAAAAACACGAAGTAAATCGATTACTATTCCTTTGAGATCTTCAATAATTTCATTTCGAGGATCCTTATTAACACTAAATCTTCCGTATCTAGTAGCTTTTGAATCCAATGAGACACATACAGCTGCAATACTTGGCCTATTATCACCTCTTCCAGAATGGAAAACTTCAGCTCCAAATATCACTGTCTGTTCTTAAGATACAAAATCAATTTGATCATTGGTTAATATTACATTTTGTCTACCTAATTTTGCGTTCACTTTCAAAAAGATGTTTGAACAAATTTGATCGATTCCATTTTTTCTCACTAATCGTTTGAGTAAAATACATTGAGTTGGAACACCCAATTGCATGTCCCCAATCCTTTTAATTTCTCCATATATTGGACCCGTTAATCCCAAAATACATATAATGATATGTGAAGGATAATTTTTGTTAAACAAAGATTTGTGACAAGCAATATTCAACACCGTAGTAATTTCGCCTTGAGGATTCGTATACATGACGTAAGGATCATTCAGGATGTCTAAAGACTCAGTCTTCTAAAAAAAGAAAAAATAAAAATGTTAATATATGTTACGTTAAAGAAATATATAGAAACATAAACATTGTCCAATTTTTTACCAAAATCCCACGCGTTTGAAGGGTGAAACGAAAACAAAACCTAAAAAAGAAAGTTTAATAGTTTAGTACCAAACCAAAGACAACAAAAAAAAACCAACAAACAATAGAAAAAACCCACCTTAATTTCCACAAAAGAGACATTGAAACATAAAAAAGGAAATACCAAAACCTAAAAAGAAAGATAACACTGAAGGGTCACCAAAACCTAAAAAGTATGGCAAGCCGTACTGGTCAAAAGGTTGATAACTTTTCATCATGTTTTATGATGATTTTTCATCATGTTTCATGATAACTTTTCATCATGTTTTATGATAACTTTTCATCA